GTTCCTGCCCATTTGCAGCGTGTTATATCTGAGACGCTCACGGGTACCTGGGCTACTACCCAAGGGTCAGGCTCTGTCGCGATCATGACCACGGGCACCAGGCCAGGCAATACCCTCGCTGCCCAACTCTTCCTCTTCATCGTGTCCAGGAGTATTCGTCGCACCCAGGAGCTGATCCAGAGTGAAGGGCTACACAAGGAGTTTAACGTGCCGTCTACCAGGACTCTTGACCCCCTCGCTCAATGCGATGCCCAGGTTACAGCTAGCGATGTAGAGTACAGCGACGACAGCCTGTTCAATGCGTGGGGGCCTGCATGTACTATTATTGCTCGCACAAGGGCCCTTATGGCTATTGTTGCTGACTCCTTCACCCCACTGGGCCTCAAGCTGAACGTGGGACCCACTAAGAGCGCCCTCATGGTCACCTTCAGAGGCCCTGGGTCTGCAACGGCCCGAAAGCAGTTCTGGATTGAGGAGGAAGGTAAGGTTTCTATCCCGCCTACCGGAACGTTTCCCAAGGGGCTTACTCTGGAAGCTGTACATGCTTACAAGCATCTGGGAGGGATGATTTCGGACAAGCAGGACCTGGCCCCGGAGCTGGCCTACCGCGTGTCGTCTACGACGTCGTCGCTCCAGGCCCTACGGCAGGTGGTATTTCGCAACCAGCAGCTGTCTCGTCAGCACAAGCTACAGCTTGCAGATGTGCTGATCATGTCTGGCCGGCTGTACAATGCTGCAACATGGCCACAGCCGACGACGGCACAGTTCAATAGGTACCGAGCTGGTATCGTGCGGATTTATCGGTCTGCTATTGGGAGGCCAGCTTATGATCAGGAGGCTGTTCCCGATACGAGCGTGCTTGCTACTGTAATGAGATGTGATGTGGATATTCTGCTAAGATGGCATCGTCTCCGTTATCTCAGTCGACTATATAAGTATGCTCCTAGGGCTCTCTTTGGGCTTATAAGGGCCACTGCGGAACCCAAGCACTCCTGGTTCAACCTTGTCTTGGATGATTTGAAGTGGCTTCGCACTCGTGTTTCAAGGCTTCGTGAATTTCCTAGTCCATTCTCGGAGTTCGGAGCTTGGGGGAAGGAGATTCTTGGGCGTGGTCAGCACTGGGCCAACTTGGTTCGATCTGGGGTGGAGGCACACATCCGTTGGGCTGGACGTATTGAAGACGCTAGAGCTCGCACGCAGATATTTTTTCAGCATGCTGCGCGTATTGGTGTGCCACCAGATTTATCTCTGACGCCGGCACCTGTGCCCGTTGTGCATCGCTGCTCTTTCTGTGAGTTCGAGTCGGCCAAGTGTGCAGCGGTGAAGATGCACATTGCTCGGCTTCATTACCAGCAGCGCTCGGTCGCTGCCAGATACGTTCACAGCCCTACTTGTTCAGTATGTCTTGTTCGGTTCAGCACGGTCGAGCTATGTATTGACCACCTTGCGTATGGGAACCCGAATTGCTACATCACGGCCCTCTCCAATATGGCCCCGGAGGCTCCTGAGGTTCTGGAGATGGTTCGGGCCCAGGAGGCCTGTGACAGAAGGGCTGCTCGGAAAAGAGGGGCTATGAGAAGGGGGGCCTGGCTTCCTGCTTCTCGTGTTCCTGGGCCTCGTAATGTTCCGCAGCTTTCGTTTTTACCGTATCGGGACGCCTGGGAAGTTATCCGCTCCATGGATTACCAGTTCCAAGATGTTCCTGAGCCCCTCTTCGAGACTCGTGAGGTAGACCCCCGATATGAGGCCCTCCCAGAAGATGAACATCAGTTTGAACCTCTTGCGTATACTGGCCCGCCTGCCGAGCATTGTCCTCGGCCGCTGCAATATGCTGTACTTGCTTTTCTGCACCTGTTCTCAGGAGCTAGACGTGCTGGAGATGTTCAGGATGAGCTTGAGAGAGTTTTGGTTTCGGGTCCAGTGACTGTTGTTATGATTTCGTGTGATGTGGCCTGTGACGCCGTGAATGGGGATTTGACCAGGGCCGACATTGTTGCAAAATGGGATCAGCTTTTGAGAACAGGTCGTGCTATAGGTTTGATTGGTGGTCCTCCCTGCGAGACATGGTCAGCAGCGAGATGGCAGGAGCTCAGAGTTGCTGACCGTTATCGTCCACCCGCTCCCCTCCGTACTCTCAAACATCGTTGGGGAAGGCCAGATGTTAGTCTCCGTCAACACCAACAGCTTTCCATCGGCTCTCAGCTCCTGCTCAGCCAGCACCAGTTGATGCTGACCTGCCTGGAGGTAGGAGCGTGTGCACTGAAAGAGCACCCTGAGGTAGCTCACTGGGAGGAAAGGGCACCCAGCTCGTGGCAGTCTGCCACGTCGTGTGCTCTGAGCGCTGCTCCCCCCTCTCGTACGGTCTCATTCGACCAGTGTGTTTTCGGCCAAGCTAGCAAGGCCCCGACGACGTTTCTGTGTATTCGGTTGAGTTCCCTCGTGGAGGACATTTTGAGACAAGGTAAAGGGGGAAGGTGCCCACACCCGAAGAAGACCCACACCACCCTCCTCGGCATTGACCCGAACACAGGAAAATGGCGTACGGCTCCCAAAAAAAGGTACCCTCAGGACCTATGTGCTGCTATGGCCAGGGCTGTTGCCCAATATGTGGAAGAGGCTTTCAATTTATGTGACCCAGATGATCTTGATTCAAGTGAACTACCTGACGAGCTGAGTGCCTTTTTTTCAGGCTCTGGATTTATACGCTGCAGACACCGCGGAAGGTCAGTCTGAGATTGCTCTTGATTTTGCAGGTTTCAGTTCAAAGGGGCCCCGAGACACCCGTTTCGACCGCCCCCTGGAGGGTAATGCCCCTCCCCCACAGGCCAGACCTCTGCAGGCTCCTTGGGAGCCCGAACCCTGGCCTGTCGAGGAGGAGGATCCGTGGGCGGAGGAAGGCATGCTCCAGTCCCGTGAGGCGGCTGGTGTCCCGTGGGATCCCCAACCCCCTCCTCCTCCTCCTCCTCCCCCCCCCCCCGCCCGTGTAGAGCTCAGTGCCGAGCTCAGACGGCAGATCCAAGCTCGACGCGAGCAAGCACGATTTCGACGTGCTGTGCGGCGCTCGCTTCCCGCAGGAGGCCTCTTCTCTTCGGCAAGCTTATGTGGCGCAGAGGGATAGGGGACCCTCCTTTTTTGTGTTGATGTATTGTGTCTCTCTTGCATAGTGCTTGATTGCCAGTATGTCTTTGGGGTAGGCTGACCATGAGCCTCAGAGAGTCAGAGTCAGAGTCAGTCCTCCTCCTCCTTCGCTTGATATTCTTCTTCTCCTCCTCCTTCTCCTCCTCCTCCTCCTCCTGTCCTCCCCTTCTTCCTCCTCCCCTTGCTCCCACTCCTCTTGCTCCTCCTCTGCCTCCTCCTCCTCCTCCTGCTTCTTCTCCCCCTCGTTTTCATATTCGTCTGCAGGGTCGGCAGCACCGGCCGTAAGGCCTTCGCAATAAACACAAACTGTTGGTCCGCGCGGATTTCTTGAATCGGCGCCGAACCCCTCTCACTGGCACGCGTCGCCAGGGGGGTCCGGCGCAGATCCAAGCAATCCGCTCGGAACTCCAAAAGTTAATGTATATAGGTTTGTTTCCTTTTCGAGTTTAGTTCGAGTCCTGGAAAAACACGCCCTCCGCCGCCGCGCTCGAGGCAACGACAACGCCCCTCTGGGGGGAAGGGGGGGGAGGAGCTTCCGCGACCCCCGAGCTTCAGACTGCGCGCGAGACGCGAAGATCAGAGGAGCAAAAGCGCTACAGAAGATAACTAGGCTTGAGATCCATCCCTATCCCTAAGGTTGAAGAGTCTAGTGGCGAAAGCAATCTTAGGGATGCGTCCTCAGGAACTGAGGGATCCCTTGAGATCGGCATCGGGATGAGATGAAGCCAATCATAAAGGATAGGTGATGCCGATTAAAGGTTAGGCGCCAGGTCACGGGCCCTTCAATGACGCGCGCGCTCGTCATCATCGTTCCAGTTTCTAGTTTTGTTAGTCGACGTGTCTCTCTGGAGCAACATTGAACAATAACTGGAACGAAAAACGACAGAAGAACGAACAATGAGGGATACTGGAACAAATCTTGAACGAAACTAAAAACGCCCCATCGCTGGTAAAGACGGACATGCAACAACAACACTGTAACGAAAATGGAGCGACAGCGTAGCGACAATGTAGGGACACCGCATATCGGAGACGTCTTCTTGGACACCTCGAGGGTCCCGGAACCTGACACCCATCAAGGGGCCCAAGGACACACAAATAGATACACACAAATGAAAGGATTCCACAGATTTTCCCATATTTTCGGGGTTTCTGTCTTCCCGCCCACTTCCCATATTTTCGCATATTTTCGGGGGAATCGACGATTCATTGTGTCTGTGTGTTCTTGTTCCCCTCCTGACGCCCAACAAGACAACCTATACGCCACCGCTCGGAGCACTGCTCGGCCTTCTCGGGCCGGCGCGCTGGATGCCTCCCTCCGACCTCGTGCGCGGAGCTTGCGCGCCAGGGGGCGGCGTCGGAGCTGCCGCCAGGGTGGTCCTGGCTCCGATCCGAGACATCCGCGCGGAGCTCCAGACCTTGATCGGGCGTTGGCAGAACTGGGTATAGTGGAACCTGGTTTAGTGATTTGTACCGGGGGCGCCCCCCCCCGCCCCATTTCCACTAACCGGAACTGCCGTCACCCGAACAACACCAGTTACGGCAAGCCTGGCCTAGTGAATGTGGCCAATTGAGGGGCCCCAGGGCCCTACCACTAACCGGGTCCCCTTACCCGGGGTCCTGGCAATACCCGACTTTAATTATGTTGATAACATTGTCTCTGCTCCGACGCCAGACTGGGTGCGGAAAGCGAGGGCGACATGACCATCACCCTTGACGCAACTGGATGTCACCCTGGTCACTAGACACGAAGCCGCGGGCCAACTTCCCGAAATGGCGCTGCGAGACCTGGACCCGGCGACACCCGGCTTGCGATTGACGACCACTGCACGGCCCGAAGCCATGAGAGCCGGGGCCCCGACATTGGCCGTGAGCGAGTTGGTCAGGTTCTGCTCCTGAACGGCACACGGGGGGGTTAGACAAAGTCAGGGCAGGGACAAAATCGGACAAGGATGAAGCGGGAATCTCTGAGATCTGGCAGTTCTGGAGGGTTCTGGAGGATGTATCGGGCGCCGCGGACTTCTCAGAGCGTTCTGGAACGCTCTGAGAGCAGTCCGGAACGATCTGGAACAATCAATCCCTGTCCTAGCCCCGCCCTCCCGTCTCGTCCTCCCTCTATTTTCTCCCCTTCCCCATCTCCAGCCGTACACGCTGAAACTATGAGACAGCCGACGTGCAGCTGCGAAGCGGCGAGTTTAGGCTGGCATCGTTTTCTTTGCTTCGGCGCAAGGCATGCCGCTCGTTACCAGCCCCGCTGGAGGAGAGAGCGGGGGCCCGCGATAATCCTTGTTTAATAAATCTATATCCCCGCTGGCGTGGCTTGGGCCCCACTGGCCAAAGGGCATACCCCCAACTGCGGTGGTGGGATGGTGGTGATCGGGATGGAGATAGGGATCTGCGACCGGCATGCTGGGCCTCTGGAAAGTGGGGCGTGGCACAGCACCTCGGCTGCTCCTGGACCATGCGCGGCCGCCCGCGACCACTGGAGCCGGGGAGCCGGACCTGGGCGCACACGTGCCCCTCTGCGTATATCGGGCGTCTGCTTGCGCCAACCTTTTTCCTCCCCAGATCTCCGACGATCTTGGGAGGCCTGGAAATGAGGACCAACACAATACAAGGGGTTGCCTCCACCGAGGGAAGATGATCCTAGAACTCGGTGTTGGTTATAGTACGTCGGCAACCTGTCGGGATCCACTAGAGGAGGGGCATGAGTTCGATCCGCTGGTGCACCGAACCGCCGCAAACCGATGTCCCCCGCATGCCCCACCTATCGGCAACTATCGGGAGCTACCTGCAGCTGGGGGGAATCCATTTTAGGCGGTTCGGTGCAAGAAACCGATTGAACTCTCACACACACATACACACATACACACAACACACAAGGTTACACGCCGCCTTTGCGAGATCCCGAACCTGGGGCGCTCGAATGTTACCACCATCATCATCGAGATCGGGATTCATCTTCCCTCGGTCGAGGCACACCGCTGATACTGGAATTGACTCCGAGATCTGGGCATCCTCCGAGATCTGACTTTCAAAATCCTGGCGGGCCTTCCTCGATTTCGCACCTCGGGGGCCGTTCTCAGGCCGGGGGGGCTTTAGCAACGGATCTGGGACGAACGGCTACGTACCCCGTGGGGAAGCGGTCGGGACCTCTGGGGCCGCGGATCGCAAAAATCATACCGGCGGGTGGCAGGGAGCCGATCCCCCAGGTCGGTGGCCGTCTCGCTGGATCTTTGAAACCAGCGCTAATCTTGCGAGTCTCCCATACCATCTTGTTGGCTCTTTGGAATCGATTATAATCGGCGCTATAAAGACGCTGACATCAGATCGGCGGATGTCGAGGTTCCTTCTGTGGAAAAGAAGGCGAGGTGCGGGGATGAGAGGCGCATGCGGGCAGGGGAGAGAGCACAGGGGAGGAGGCTGGCCAGGGTAGCCTGTGAGGATGAGAGAGCGGGGGGGAGAAGAGGGGTGGAGGGTAAACAGAGGAAACAACTACATAAACATAAACTTTCGAAACTCCGCGCGGATTTCTTGATGACCCTACCAAGTAACTGAGACGTCTGGGGCTCCAATCTTGCTGGATGCGTAGGTCCCGTGGCCAGTCGAGGGCCCCCCCGAGGCCGAAACTAAACCCAAACCAGGCGCTTCAATCTTTCCGGAGCCTCGGATCTCAGGGCTTGGCCCCCTCACCCGAGGGAGCTGGGCCCCGAACGGGGGGGAGGAGGAGGAGGAGGAGGAGGAGGAGGAGGAGGAGGAGGAGGAGGAGGAGGAGGAGGAGGAGGAGGAGGAGGAGGAGGAGAAGGAGGAGGAGGAGGAGGAGGAGCCCCTGTGAGCCGGGCCCAGAGGGGGCGGACAGAGGCCGACGCCGCCCCCTCGGCGAGCTCGGCGGGCGGCCTCCCGGCGAGGCGGGCCCCGTCGGGTGGGCGGCGGAGCGCGGGGGCCATGGCGGTGTGGGCCCCGGGGCGGGCGGGCCACCCAGAGATCCGAGCGGTGTCCGAGTGCTGTATCGACACAAACCGCCCCCCCGCTGGAACGGGCACGGGCAGGGCTGTGTTTCGTGTCTGAGCGGGCCACAACCCGGGAGCGCGGGGCCATGGCGGTGAGGGCCCCGGGGCCCCCACGGGCCCCTGGCTCGGGCCGCCCGGAGATCCGACCGGCCAGTCTGGGGCGAGCTTCGGCCCCCCGGGGGGACCTCACAGGGCCCCGGGACCGTCGAGAGCGACTCGAGAGAGAAAGCGCCATCCCCCGGGAAGTGGTCCAGACCTCCGGGCGTCTACGCATCGAAGAGCTTGGAGCACCGGTTGTCTGGGGAGCGAGGCTGGCCATCGCCCGGACGTTGATTTCCTGCGTTTTGTTTGGTTTCGTGCGTGGCTTTCTCGCCAAATGATCAAGGATGCTCCTCGATGGTCCTCGCCGAAAGAAACATGCACAAGTCCGAGCGATGCCAGGGAGGGGGGGGGGCTGACAGCCATCGTGCTACGGAGCGCTGCGTGTGGAACGAGTAATGCGTTTCTGGCCACGGCGAGCCCCGGCCACGGACAGGTGGTCCGACCTGCATCGGAGCGGCCCGAAGCCGTGGCCTCGCCTGGGCTGGGCGATGGGCGTGCTCTCTGCGCCTCTGCTCACGCCCCGGCCCCCACACACTAAAGGGGCCATGGCGGGGAAGCGCATGGACTTTTGGCCTCGGCTGCTGGCGTTGACTCTCCATGTGCCCTTCGGTTCCTGGCGCCTGATGATGATGATGATGATGATGATGATGGTGATGATGATGATGATGATGATGATGATGATGATGATGATGGTGATGGTGATGGCGATGATGATGATGATGATGATGATGATGATGATGGTGATGATGGTGATGATGATGATGATGGTGGTGATGATGATGGCGTTGACTCTCCGTGTGCCCTGCTGTTCCTGGCGCCCACGAGTGGGGGGCACCGGCAGGGAATGGATCGGACGTCGATCGCCGAGGAGCCCAGAGTGGTACTCATGCCAGCGTCTCGAGCATAGGCGAGGTGGGCAGGCGTCGGAGGGGTCGCACCCCAACGCACTCACGCGACAAAAAAACGAAAGACGAGCTCTGGAACCCCCGAGGCCATCGGCCGTCTAAGGGCTCCAACGGGCAACCTGCTCACCACCTTAACATCGTTCGAATCTGGAGCTGCGATGGCCACAAAAGTCTAGTCCTCCTGTAGAAAGATCGGAAATTGGCAGGAGTGGGCTTAATGTGACCTGGTTTAGTGATGTGTTCCGGGGGACGCCCTCAAGGCCCCATTCCGCAAGCCAGAACTGCCGTCGTGCGAAGAAACACCAGCTACGGCAGACTTAGTTTGATGAAGCTAGTACTTTGTTCAAGCATCGCGGCCGAATCACTAATCTCGGGGATGGACAGACCTCCCTTTAGTAAAACGTGGTTTAGTGAAAACGACCTGAGGCCCAAACCTGGCGGGCGCAGGCCTGGAAAATAACGGCCGCGGCGCCCTCTCGAGAGCCGAAAACGGACAATTCACTAATCGACGTGTCACTGTTGGGGGTTCTGTCCGCCCCCGATAATCCCTTACCTGAGATCCTGGCTATGTCCGACATGAGCTCAACACCCGTAGTCGTGGGCTCTCCGGCAACAACAACTCTGCAACCTCCGCACTGGGTGCCACCGAACGGGCGAGAAGCGTCACAACACTGTCATGTCCTGCAGCACGCGAACGCGTACAACAATGCAAGCATTTCGCAAACAAATTACCGTATCTTCACCACCAGTCCGAAACCGTGGGTGCCGCATGGGGCATACGTTGGTTGGACTTTGATTCTGTCTCGACAGACCCGATGCATCTTCAGAAAGAACAGTACTTCGCATCTTAATGGGCCCCTGAAGCGGCAACCCGTTTGAAAGCTGGAAAAAATACCAACGGCCAAAAACAGCAAAGACGGAACCGGGACAGGAAACCGGAGCTGGAACCGGAAAACAGAAACGGCGTCGGAACCTACAACAAAACGGCTAAACGGAACTGGCAACAACCACTGCCCTGGATCAACTCAGTCACGAGGAGCCCTTGTTTGGGCTGCCTGAATGTTATTTTTCTTGCAAGATCTAAATGCAAGAAAGAAAATATCTGGCCGACGATGATGCGTGATCAAGGGGCTTAAGCTGTGTAGCCGGAGTAGTTAATCAGCACGGCGTATGCTTGGCACGATCAGACACTGGCGACATCGTTGGGCTAGCTGTGCCAGTGATGCTTACATTTGGAAGGGATTAGCCAGAATCATGACAACCGCTGCAATACTGAAGTATCCCATGCCGGAAAGTTTCGCACCGCGCATCATGCTATATGCATCCACACACGTTGCAACAATGCAAGCGAGCTTAGCCGCGCTGGTCAGCTCATGCTGGTATCAGCTTGTCCTTAGTATAGCTTGGCGATGCCAGACTGTAGACCTGCACTACAGCTTCGGCTTGCCCCTCGCAGAGCCAGTACGATGTTACACCTAGCTCAAACTTGCGATTATCAAGCCCAGGTGTGGGCTTAGGTCTGACTGAAGGATTCTGCATGACTTCGGTTTTCGCATGCCACATTGTATATGTATTTGAGGCCATGGGCAGAGCTTAGCTGAGGTTCGGATGTATTTGCTATGCTCTGGCTTCCTGAGCTGATCTTTACTTGACTTGTCCATACTTGGCACAGCTGTTACTAGTTACATTGTGCTCACGCCCAGGCCTGCACTAAGGAACAAACTCCGAAATCCGAGAATATGTGTGCTTCACATCTTGAGCTTGGGTCTGGCCTCACGCTGAGTACAATGGCCACGGCTACAAGGGCACGAATCCTGGCTGGCGACGCTGCCGCCACAAACTAAAGGGACACAACGAACGTGGGACGGTGCCGGGTGATCCCCTCCCACGCCCGGAGAGCCATGAGAGGTCTGCCAATCAGACGCTACACAAGCGCTGAAGCGCTGGTGAGGCCAGCTAGTCCAAGCTTGGTTGGCGATTGGGGTGACTTCCGCAAAGCGTCATCTGCGACAAATTGCGTGCTGGGTTGGCGTCCTCCAGCCCAGCGATCAGCGTGCAACCGGACTGAAGCTTCTTCAGCCTCGCCAACTGCTCCTCGGAAAGACGGAATGGAGAAGAGAAGAGTTGAGAGCGGGATGGACGCCAGGTAAATGAGGGACTGAGTGGTCCGTACGTATCTCAGTTCGCTTTGATTGTGCAGCTAAAGTGCTGCCTCGTCCGCAACTGCCCCGAGTGCAAAAACGTGCCCGACTCGAAGTCAAGACTCCTGGAACAAAGTCTCAAGAATCATGGACCGTCCGTCACGCCTGAACAAATCTGCAAGGGAAAAGAGATTCGGCCAACGGTGCGTCACACTTCGAGATGCTGGGAAAACAACACACACGTGGGGAAAAAAAACACCGCCGTGGGGAAAAACAGACACTGTGGGGAAAACACACACACACAGTGTGTGTGTGTGTGTATGTGTGTGTTTGTGTTTGTAGTTGTGTGTTTGTTTGTGTTGTTTCCCCACAATGTGTGTGTTTGTTCCCCAAAATGCGTTTTTTCCCCAACATTTTTTCCCCCACAATGTGTGTGTGTGTGTGTGCGTGTGTGTTGTGTGTTTTTCCTGCGGCAACGCCCGCGCCACGAGCGCAGAAGCTGTCACCCCGCGCTGCCAGGACGTCTCCGCCACACTCGGCCGAAGGGACTCGACCCCGTGTAGAGGGGCGACGTCCACCGGGGGATCAACTCAAAGGGGGACACACCGACCTGGCAACGTCGGCCCCGTCGTTCCGTCGGATGCTTCGAGCCGGATCGATCTGTGATGGCCCCAGCGCCCGAAACAGGGCGAAACCGCCCAGTGCGAGCAAAAACTGCAACGCCAAGATCTACGGGTGGGTACTGACGCACTGAGCGGCAACGATGAATGGGGACCAGCTCAGGGGGAGCAGCACCGACCTGGAATCGGCGACACATCGCCGATAGGTCGGCGATGGATAGCGAAACCGCACGTTCCTGGGCAGGGCGGCCTGTAGCGCCCCTATCGGCGATGAACGGGCGACAAGGCAAGGGGTCGATGCAGCCTTCGGTGGCAACTTACGGGAGCCTCCCAGGCCGTCGTGCTGGCTCTTGCGCAACGACGCTCACCGACGCTAATCGAAGCTGACCGACGCGACTCGACGCTACATCGACGCCAATCGATGCAAGTCTGCGCTAGTTGCACGCCAACGCGAATCGAGAACAACACGCTAGCGCACGCGAATGCACTCTGAAGACGAAAGTGTGAGGACATACAAAGTCAGCGTTTTGGTGATAGCGGGCGTTGCCAATAGGGGGGTGCGGGAACGTCACGTTTCGCGCCAGCGCCGGTTGGGAATGCTAAGGAATCGCAAAGGACAGCTCGGATAGCAGGATCTGCTGCGGTAGATCGCGCATACCTAGCGGCATCTGCTACGGCAGAGCGCTTCCCTTCTCCTTCTCCTCCTGTTCCTCCTCGTCCTCGTCGTCGTCCGTCGGCGGCATCGTCGTCGTCGTAACGGTCCTCTTCTCGTCGTCCTCGTCTTCTCCATTCTATTGCAAGGTGCTTCGCGCAGGGACAGACAAAGGGCGGAGGTAGTTGGGAGAAGGGAGGGGGCGAGAAAGGCGGGGCCAGGCCGAAACAGTTTATCTGACTACACATTTCTTGTCGACTTGTGCTCAGAATAGGGTCCGGGCGCTCCTGGGCCCGAGACGGGAAATGGCCTCGCGGTCGGCGTCCTCGTCCTCCTCCGCTCGTTGTCCTTGTCTCACCTAAGCTCCCAGCCAAGCACGCTGTAGTGCTCGCGGGCCACTGTGGTGCTCGCTCTGCCTTATCCGAGCTGAGGGTCTCAGATTCGCAGCCTCGTGGCCCCAAATCGCTGTCCTTGCGTGAAGCGCCTTGCGACGAGTGGCGACGACGAGGACGACGAGAGGAGGAACGCTACGAGGACGACGCCGACGACGAGGACGAAGAGGGATGCTATCCGAGCTGTCCTGTGCTACTCCTAAGCGTTCCCAGACGGCCGACTGCGCGGCACGAAACGCAACGTTACCAAAGGGGAGGGGGGGTGCGGGGCCGGTAACGGCCGTTACCGCGAAACACAAAAAAAAGGTTTTCAAGGCTCCCATGATTTGCTACTGAAGCATCCCCCCTGAGCCGAACTCCTCACCTTATCGCTGCCTGTCAGAATGTAACCAATTCTTCGTGCCTCTTTCGCATGAAGATCGGTGAAGAACCTCGCACAGGCTCCTTCGCTATCAAGCGGAAATGGCCGAAACCAATCCGAGCAAGAATCGAATGAGAGCGAGTTGAGACAAGGGCAGCTCAAAATCGTTTCCCAGGCCCCTCCTGGGGATCAGCCTGACCAACGTCCAGAGATGCGCCTACCCGTGGCGACGAAGGCATCCCGCGCAGCCGCTGCCTCAAGTGGCCTTCCTTTGACCCAAACGTTGCCCCGTGGCTTTCGGGCCAGGGCTCGGGCCTCCGGCAGCCGTCCGGAACGCCCTCGGCGAAGCGCAGCTGCCGGAGGGCATCCCGAGGCTGGAAGACCCACGAGAACCTACGAGAACCTCCGAAAACCTCGAACTTGATGAAGGGCGGCCCTTTCGAAAGAGCCAATGGCTCCAAGCACAATGCCGAGAGAGAAGAGGACACAGACGGGCCCCTCGGATCGGGCGCTGCTCCATGGGGAATGGGGGGGCGAAGAGACATGCACCTGTCGTGCCCCCTTGAGGCCACAGGAGCTCCCTTCAGTAGCCCTTTTTGGGAGGGTGAAGAAAGGCGCGGCGCACCGTTCTTCACGTCCCCACTCACCGCCCCCCGCATGACGCAACGCCCCCTTGGAAGCTCCCCGAGGGCTGGCGATGGCCGGGCGCCTCGTGCGTGCGCCCTTTCGCAAGACGAAAACAACGGTGGGCGCCAAAGGGGTAATGATGCGAAGCGGGGATATGACTATAGCGGGCTCCAAAGACCCGGGACGAAAAAGCCTTGCCACCTGTTGGAGGGCACTTTTTACTTCCGCCGGCTTCTGGCGGTGGAGGCGGCGCCAGTTCTATGTTCGCCGGGGTCCGCCGAGGAAGATATGGTAACTCCTTCGATCCTCGAAGGCAGGGCCCCGTCTGGAACGCCTCGCGTGTCCATATCCACCGCCCGGGGAGCCGACGCCCGGGGACCCCAGCGGGCGGTGGATATATGTGTATACAGTCCGGCCCAGGGGGCCCGAGCACCAAATATATCCATATCCACCGCCCCGAAGATCGACCCCCAGACGGGCGTTATGGGTAAATTCCCGCCGTGGAGGTGAACTGACACGTACATACCTTCCCGCCGTGCGCATAGCTGTGGGCCCATTGTGCAATCCGAAGTCCTGCGGACCAGACAAGAGACTAATCGGAGACCTCGCTCACAACGCTTCCCAAACATTCAACGATCAATGTTTGTTCCAACACGCGGCCCCAGAGGTCCCGACGCCTCCGCCGGGGCCATTTTTTCACCCTCGATTCATTCCTGCTGGCCCCGGAACTTGATAACGGGCCCCAAATCCCGAAATCGAAGAAAACGCCGGGATTGAAAAAACATGTCGTCGGAGATCTGGGTTTCAAGGGGTGCACAAGGCTGGATTTGGCCATCTGGCAGCCGACGCGACACCCGGACCCCTCCCCTGGCTCCTCCGGGTGGGACACCTTCTTCCTGGGGCGCCGCCGCGCGCGTTTGATCGGCCCTCTGATGAAAACGGGGCGGCAAAAAATCGGTGGTGGCTGACGTCGAAGCGGCTGAGCCGAAGCCATGGAAAGAAGTAAAAGACGAAAAGGCACAGCAAGATGAGATGGCGCTGGGCACGAGAGGATAATAGATAAGATGGTACTCGCTATGCGCCACCGTGCCCCCTGGCACGGTGAGGCGTGGTGGAATGCTACGTGAGAGCGATCCAATGCCAATTTACGCTGGCAGCTTACGTGCGAATGCTCGCGCAATCGAACCCGCTCTCCTGCGTCGCTAAGATGGTGTCTGGTCGAATTCCCGGCAGTCTTCCAAGGCACCCCCACCTCGAAACGACCGAGCTGCATGCACCACTCCCAGTCTAGAGGCGCCCTGGCGCCGCTCAGGGGTTCTCCAAGACGGCCCAGGGAGCCCACCGAGACCGCAAAGATGTCCCAACATTGCCCAGCAGGAGCCGCAAGAGACCTCAAGACACCAACGCGCGTGAATGCACAGCAGACACAACCGAACGTGGGTTAGAGTCTGGATAGATAACTATAGTATATGTCCGTGGATGACATGGTCCGTATCTGACAGCAATACCCAAGAAGAGTACACCGAGTCACTGGCCTCGAACGTCAAAAGGTACATCACATGTCACTTGAGTCCAGACGGCACTAAGAGTATGACAAGCCACTCACATCGAATCATAAATATACCACACAGTGAACCATCAAAAGCAAAAATACTCCAGTCAAACATGGTACAATCGCTTTCGGCTGTGCTCCAAGAGTCGGCTAGTCACCATCGACACATAGTGGAAGCCCATGCGGACCATCATGACCATGAGGTCGCTTCGACGTTCATAGGCACGATGAGCATCGAACGTGATGCAACCAAGGCACGGCGAGACTTCCACCAATCCAAAAATACACCATATCGCCAGTGCACACCGTCGCACTCGGCGACGACATGTCGCACAGGCGGCTGGAAAGCGCCACCGCGCACAGGACAGCACTGAAACTCCTGCTCGCCATCCTGGGATCTGGCGTGAGACTTCCCAGCGCCACAGAAGAATCTGACCACTTCTTGCCGCTGCTCAGGAGACTGTGACTCGTGGTACTTTTGCCGCGGCACATCAACGTCCAAGGCGCCTCCGCAGTCGTTGCGAGTGTGCCTCGCCAGACGCAGGTCACGCATGCGACACGCAACACGTAATACATGATATGAGAGCTCTTCCTCTCCGCTCCAGTATCCCCGACGGCTCCGAACAATCTCATCTACCCTCAAGTCGCACTCATTGGGGCCCTGCTGAAATCGGGGCCCCAGGTCAGGACAGAACCCATCGTGCACCATGCCCACGCGCTTGAGAAGGTCACTGATGTTCCTCTCCGTCCACGGTTTTATCTCCGGCCCCCACTCCGTCAGGCGCTGGGTGCCCGCCAACCAGCTCGAGCTCAGTGGGTGGCGTCGATGCGCAAGGCGCAGACCCTGCCTCGGCACTACCACGCGCATCGAGATCGCGGACGCCAGCTTGGGGGCGATATCCGCAAGCGAGGCCGTGAACAGCGGCGCGCGCCACGGCCACAGGGATTCGACGTGCGCCTCCGCGGCCCCCAACCTCGTTCTCGAACTTCCAGGGGCATTCTGCAATGCTGGGGTGGCAGCGCATATCCCCCCCCGCCCCCCAGGAAGGCGCGGCGTGGACCGTCTCGTCGCCAGGCGCGAGCTCGACCCCGATGTGCTCAACCTTCTTGCGGTCAACGCGGTGCCACTCCTATCGCTTGGCTCGGTTCTACACCGTTCCAGCCCCCATGCCATGCGCATCCGTCTTGAGGGCGTCAGCAATCAACTGCCCGTCGGACTCCGTCGCGTGCGAACGATCGCCCACGAACAAAAACTGCCCCCCACTTCCCAGGGCGCCAGCGCACTGCGCAAAACTTTGGGAGCGCAAGAGCCCCCCCGCGCAGTCCCGCAGCGGGGCCGCGCGCGTTCGCCCGCCAGCTCGCCCGAGACCTGACACCCCCGCGGGCCAGTCCAGCCCGCGAAGGACACAGCCACAAGGTCAGCAGGGGCACCGGCAGCACGTAGCGAGGCGACGGCCATCTCACGAGGTACTTGATCGCAGCATGTGGACAGGTCGCGCCCCATGCCAGACTCGGCCGAAGACCATTCCCGTCGCTAGCTGCAGACAACATGCGCCACCGAAGCATCCGCTTTGCAGGCCCACTGCGCTGCTTGCGGAGCTGGGAAGGCATCCACATATGCTGTCAACCATGATCTCAATAGAACTGATGCCACTCCGATCGGCCGCGAGGCCCCGCGCTTCTTCGGCCCCCCAACCACGCGCCAGGAAAACCACAACTCTTGCAGCTTCCGGACCTGTCGAGGACGATCCGCCAGCTTCACCATGCTCTGCGCCCCCAGGAAGCGCGACGCGGCCACCCAGAGGTCGCGCAGCTCACGAATCCAAAAAAGGAAGGCGGAGGCTGCCACCTTCAGCTCCCTGGCAGCCCAGCCGTCGTAGCCAGCTCTGCCCTTGCCTTTCGAGATGGCCTCGGCGAGGCCGCCGTAGGTCGGCGACCAGTGGTCTGCCGCTGCGCTCTGCGGAAGCGGGCGCTTCATGCTCTGAGCGCCCCGTCGCCACGATTTACCGCGAAGGGCGCCATCGCAGCCAGTGGATGCGGGCGGGCGCCAGAAAGAAGACCGCCCCTTAGCCATATCATTGGCCGCGGAAGTGAGGCAAACCGTCGCTTCGTGCACGACAGAGCACGCAGCTCGCCGAGCGTTGGAATCATAACCGGCTTTGCGAAAGAAAAGTCTCCATTCCTGCAGCCCCTCCTTCTCGAGGCGGGCCTCGTACTTCGCGATGGCCTCGGAGATGCGATCATTCGCGCGTCCAAGACTCGGTCAACCTGCGAACGTATTCTCAATAGCCTTCTGCATACATAAACCAACGAACGCGCCCAAGGCCCAACACCCCAATGGGGGTCTTGGCAGGCAACGTCTTCATGGCCCCCCGCTATCTGCCTCCCAGGCCACTTGAGACGGCTGAGCATGATGGGCCCGTTGGGTCTCCTGCTCGGCGCTGACGTCGCCGGTCGCGACGACGGCGCCGTACCCGGGGCACGCTCGGCGGCCTCGCTCTTCGCGATGAAGCCCGCCTCCACACTCTGATCGAAGACGTAGTTGGCACGATCGTGCCATCGATGCCACCGCCGCAACAGCGGCTCCTCAGGTCCCGATGGTGGGACTATGCTCACGGCGGAAGCGTAGATGGCCTCCAGGTCCTCGGGCAACGCAATCGCCGCGGTGTCGAGGGGGTCGGTCGTCGCCCTCTTTAGCCTCGTAGCTGGCCCGCGCTCAGGAAAAAACAAGACGCGTCAGCGCGAACGAGACCATGATACAGCACGCATGCTATAAATGTTGCGCCCACATGCAACGTCGCCGCTCTGGCTTGGCAAACCTGCTTGGCTGAGACACCGGCACAGCGGCAGGTGCGACCACCACGCAAACTGCAGCTCGAGGCTGAATGCACTGCCTCCTGTACACACTCCTCCAGTAAAGATCACCACAACACAACCCATGTTTACCAGCCGCCTCCGTACTTGTCCAATATATAACATCATACATCCATTGAGGGTTCGGCACTGACGCTGGCCCGCACGCGGAAACAATCGCACCGAACGCCCCGCGGATGGCCATGCGCCGATGCGACTGCAACCTGAACTTTGCATCCTCCCAGGCTGGGCTTCAAACAAAATCCACCACCAGGCATCAGCGCACCACTGGTATTCTTGAGCGTTGGCGACCCACCGCGGCATCTCCGAAGAAAAAAACGCACCTCCTGCACCGTCAGCACATCCGTCTCGACCAACACCTCGCGGCACAGGAGCGCCTCGAGCCTCGCGGCCGTCAGCGCCACCGCATTAACGGCAGCCGCGCCCGGACGACGTCAGGGGCCACCGTCGGCACGACGGGGGTCACCGTCGGCTTTGCGTCGGGGGTCACCGTCGGCAGCGTCGGGGGTCGCCGTCCGCGTCAGAGTCGAAGACGGCGCGCCGCTCTCCGCGCCCCCCGCGGAGCGGTTCGCGGGGGGCAGGGCCCCGTCCGCGCCTGGCCTGATTCTGGCCGCGCGCCTCGTCCTTCTGGCCGCCAAAACGCGGGCCCCTGCCGTGCCCTGCTTCGTCGTCTCCTCGTGCGCCTTGGTTTTCCTCTGCTTCCTCTCCGCGATGACGCCGGCCTTCTTGGTGTACTGCTTCCAGTAAGCCTTCCTCTTCGCTTTCTGCTCGTCGTTCATGTTCATATTCCTCTTCTGCACGCGCCTGTCCTCGACGTGGAAATAGTGCCGGGTCGTGGCCGCGCCCGCGGTGCTTATCTGATACCTCTTTCCCGTAACTATGATGGCCCGCGCGCTGCAGGCATTCCGCGGAGCCTGCGCCCGCGGCCTCAAGGCGCCGCAGTTGACGCACAGGTAGGCCACGCAACTGCGCTGAGGTCCTGGAGTCTGCGTGACCGTCTCAGGATCACACAAGCGCATGGGACTGAATGTGAGGCGGGAGCTTGGACTTCCAGAGCAAGTGCCGCGCAAAGGTCCTCTCCCTCCATTTTCTCTCTGATCCTCGCCGAGGTAACCAGATGCTGACTGATCTGGGACCTCGGCGCTTCCTGGAGCTTGGGCCACTTGCGTGCTCAGGCAATGGCGCCAGCGCTGCGTGGCCTGCACTGACAAATTTGCATCGTGACACGGGGTGGGCTTCCACCCGCACTCGCATATGTAGCACTCGTCAGCGTACGTGGCCCAGTGGTCGGCGACCTCCTGCGCCTGCGGACCCTGGCGGCCACGGGCCTTCTCTTCCTCCTCCTGGGCACCAATGCCCAGGAACGAGTTCAGCTCCTGCTCGTGGCTGGGCCCCCTGAGGCCCAGCAACGACGCGATGTCCTCGGAGTGCGACGTCGGCGCCTGTAACCCCAGCAGCGACAGCATATCA